ATGTAGAATTACAGAGTAGATGTAGAGTTAGAGGGTAGGTGTAGAGTTAGAGGGTAGATGTAGGGTTAGAGGGTAGGATGTTCTGAGGCTCCATCAGATGGAGAAAACCTGTATTCTGTACATGTCAGTAAACGTATCGTAGACCAGCTGCAGTACCTGGTTGTTCCACCAGGTGGAGCCTCTCACTGTTTAATCCTGTAGAGACCAGAGGAGGCGCATGGTGGCAGCAGGTCATTGTGGGAGTTTAGCAGTAACGAGACCATGACAGAGACTCAGAGGAGGTTCATGACCTCCATCCAGAACTCAGATGAACCACTCCAGTTCAGGTTTTCTCTCAGCAGACTGGCTGCAGTCACATTAAACTTCTACTTGTTTTTTTGTTTTTGAACATTCTGAGAAACGACCACAAGCCTATTACACGTGTACATTTATTTACATATTTTCTGCAGTCGTGTTAAAGGCTACAGCGGCGATAAGTCCCGTTTATGTGGAAGAAGACGAACAGGTGAAGCAGCTCCGGTAGACACGCAGACAGGCCATCTGGTGTTGGCTGAGTCTTCATGCCAAATTTCCCAATGAGATTGTGAATGAAACTGGCATTAACCTGTTTTAATACGAGCCGAGGGAGTAAAGGAGCCAAACTCATCAAATAACAACCCTCAGTTTAATATGTTGTTCACAAAACATGCCTCTGTGGGTCCAGACTTACTGGTACTGTTCCAACAATCCACCACCTCAAGCTCAGTCAACCTCTTCATCACACTACAGCCAGTCGGTGCTCTTTGCATTATGGTTTCAGTGATTCACATCTGGTGTCACCCTGACAAACATCTGAGCTGGTTGTTTCTTTAGTGCCTTTATATCGTACCGCTGAAACAATAAGTCTTGAACATTGTGACGACATCTTGTTCATATAAAATAACTGAAACTCAGCTTGAATTCTGTTCCAGATCCAGATGTGTGTTGAGAGGTTTCCTCTGTTCATTCCAGATGTGACGTGGTTTGAATTCTTAACTGGTCCTTGATCTTTGGTCCAAACACTAATCACCTCCGTACACTTTGTAGGTGTTTTCCTCTGACAGGTCGCAGCAGACCTGTTGATCCACCAGCACTTACCGAAACCAGAAACCACAGAGAAAATAGAAAATATACGGTGTTTTGTTTTCAAAGTTTTGGTGTCCAAGTATTCGTTCTTTCCACATCCCTGTTTTGGTAGGGTTGCTGCAGAGGTCAGACCTTTTCACACAATGTGGCTTTCAGTGATTGTGCTTCTCCTGGGCTGGAATCTGTTGTTTCAGATGTGGACTTCTAGCAGTCTGAGCCCTCAGTACCTTCTGTTTGATGTTTGTTCACAGTTTTAAAAAATGAAGTGCAGTAAATGGAATTTGAACAGTTTGTTGATGATAAGTAGATTAATAATGTGAAATAGCAGGACTGGTGTTGCAGCCCACAGTCAAACTCACTGTATCCAGGGTGACATAAATACTTTCTGATTCTGGTTAAAGGTCACTTCTGTTCATACCAGTGAGGAATTGTAACCTTTATATGACACTTTAAAAACATTGTGGTCATGATGATTCTGTAACAAAGGAAACCACAGAAGCCAAGTGTCTGTAAGAGTTTAATCCGATCTCAGTTCAAACTAGCATAGCATAGCATAGCATAGCATGTTGTAGAAACAACAACAAAAAAACATTTTTAAAAAATCATAGTATACAGAAGTAAATGCTGCTAATAATGTAATAGTTTAGCATGTTGTCAAAAATATCATAGTTTAGCAGTTGGTGTAGTCTGAGTGACGCCTCCTCTGGTCTCTACAGGATTAAACTGTAACAAGCTCCACCTGGTGGAACAACCAGGTACTACAGCTGGTCTATGATACGTTTACTGACATCATGTAGAGAATACACGTTTTCTCCATCTGATGGAGCCTCAGAACATCCTACCCGCCAACTCTACATCTACCCTCTAACTTCACATCTACCCTCTGACTCTACATCTACCCCGTTTACCCCTAACTCTGGGAACTGGTAAACCACCTCTTGTTGTCTTACAACAGGGGCAATAAAGATCTCTTCTTCTCCTAAATGACGGCAAACAAACTTATTTGGAGCATTCATAGTTTCAAATCAACTAATGCAGAGATTTGAGTTTCATTTACACACAGAATCAATATGATGAACGCTTATTATGTCAGATCAACTTGTCCAAATAGTGGTGGCGACCTAAAAGTAGACTTGAGCTTGATCTTGCATTCATGTGGCAGCAGGTCCCTGAATCAGCGTCTGTGATGAATGTAAATCGGCTCCTGATCACTGAAGCTGTTAAACATTTAGAGCGGCTGCTGCTCTCGGAGCTCTTTAACATGGACCGACATCATCCGATCAGGACGTGTTCCATGCTGCCGTCGGTCTCCGGTCGGCTGCTTCATCCTCTTCATCCCCCACAGCTTCCCTCTGCTGAGCAGCGCTGCAGCTCTTTGTGTTCTGGGGGGAAGGGAGGCGAGAAGCAGAAGGCTCCAGCGCTGTTCCATGTTGGAAAGGTTTCCTCAGCTCACATATTCTGATGTCGGGCTGTAATTAGCTGCTGTTTACCTCCTGCTGCAGCCAGAAGCCAATAAAGCGTCTGACAGCAGAGAGCTATTTAAAGTGAAGCTCTGCAGAGACGACGAGGATTCTGGGTCTTTCAGGGTGAGCCGGCTCTGCAGAATAACAACGATTCGTACTGAGGTACCGGTTCCTCAGAACCGGCAGCAGAGTGAAGCTGGTTCTGATCCACACAGAGAAGAACCAAATAACACAAGATCACAGCTTCGGTTTTTATTCCAACAGCAGCAGCAGCACAAGACTTCGGCTTTAACTCACCTGAGTTCAGTTTAACTCACCTGGGTTCAGTTTAACTCACCTGGGTTCAGTTTAACTCACCTGGAAGTAGAACTCTGAAACAATCAGGTGGATAGAAACACACAAAGAACTGATTCGAAGCTTCCCAAACTATTTAAAACTCATCCACAATGACTTGAAACTCAAATCTACTAGAATTCAGTCTCTGGACCAGACAAGGTTCATCTCATTGTCATGATTGTCCTACACGACTCGAAACATGTCCAGAATTACCCAGAATTCTATAAAATGTCTCTAAATGATCCAACAACGATGCAAAAATGTCCCATATTAGTCCAGAACTGACATAAAATTGTCCTGAACAATCTAAAATAGTTAAAAATGACTACAAATGGGTCCAAATTTACTTAAACTGTCCATATTAACAGCAGTGAAGAACAATGAGCTCTTAGAAATGGAAAAAAAAACCCCAAAAAAAGCGCAAAATCTCCAAACCAGGCTGGTGTTGATCCAGAAAGTTCCTGTCAGTGTCTGTCTACAGATGGATCCATGGTTCTGTTGAGGCTCTAACATCAGCAGAACCTGATGTGGTTAAGTTGGACCAGACAAGGTTCTGGTTTCAGATGTTTAGACACTGACAGGAACTCTCTGGATCAACACCAGCCTGGTTGGAACATTTTATTCTTTTTTTCCATCTTCAAGGTCCAGTTATCAAACTGTGTCTTGCTGGATCCGTCCAGCGGTTTTGATGGAACCGTTCAGTCTGAGTCTCTACATGTCACGGCTGTCGGAGTTTTATTTCTGGACATATTGAACCATGAAAATACAGAAATCTCAGGTGTAAAACATAAAATACTCCAAATTCACCCAAAACGTTTTATTGATCTTGAATTTTGGGTCCCAGAAAACAAATCAGCAAACTGTGAACAGAACCTGACACAGATATTTCTGTTTATTTTCTAAGAAAGCCCAGTTTTTAGTAAAAGTCAGTGTTTCCCTGTCATGATTAGTTTCAGTTCAGAAGAATCAGATGCACCAGCTGTGGATGAAGCAGGTCCCTACACATGGCATGGCCTCATGAACGGGACTGAAGTCCCCGTAGATACAGAATCAGATGATTTTTATGGAGTGACCTGAACAGATGCTTCTTCAGGAGTTAATGAACACTGTGGTCTGTCACTGGACAAACTGGTTTTACTGCTCCAGCTCCAGAATGTTTGGAGGTTCTTCTGGTTCTGCTGGTTCCTCCTCCGGACCGGACTCCTGCAGGACGGATAGAAAACCATCAGTGAAGTGTGCAGAAGGCGTCCACGTGTTTACATCAGACTGGTCCTGTGATGGTCAAGGGTCATAGAGCAGCAAGAAGAGAAAAGACTGAAATCTGAGTCAGTTCTGCAGCAGGTGAGTAAAGTCGGGGATGTTTCAGCTGAACTGCAGCCGGCGTGTCCACAGAGAGGAGACACCACGACACGTAAACACTCTGCAGAAGGAGCACTGAGGTAACACCTGAACTGATGATTAGATCAGCCGCAGAAGGAGGTCATGCATGTCAGAAAACGTGCTGTAGATTAGAGACATCTGTCTCCTCCTTCATGTTGTTCTGGTTCCACAGAGAAACATGAACCTCAGTGAAGGAGACACAGCGAGGCTCATGCAGCGTTTCAGACTCACCCCGAAGGGTTCAGCGAAGGCTCTGGATCCGTTGTAAAGAGGGTTTGGGATCGACACCAGTGTTGGCTTCATCCTGCCGCCGCCGTCCTCATCATCGTTCTGTCACCGTGGAAACAAGAAATCAGCCGATGAACCGTCTGGTGGTTCCAGATGTCACTCAGGGGTTAAACTGTGACTCTGTTTTATGAATAACTTCTTCAGTTCTGTTCAGACAAACTGTTAAAAAAAATCTGTCTGAAATCTGAAATCTAAAGTCAAACAATGTGAATGTGTCTGCAGCTCAAGTGACTTCCTGTTGTTCAGGTTCACATTCTGCTCTGTTGTGCTAACAGCACGCTAACAGCATGCTTCATGTACTCAGTGATTAATGTTAAAGTTACACAGAATCATACATCCACATGTTAAACAACAGCTGCTGGAACAGTGACTCCCAGTAAAGACACTATAGTGGACATTTATTCTACAATATTCACTAGATTAAGCTAAATGTTAAATTTAAGACTCGACAATATTACTTGATAGATGTCAGACTGGAAAGACCATCACTCAGCAGAGGTGGAGGTCTGAGGCATCACCTCTCACCTGTTCACAGCTCAGATCTCTCCCAGGAAGATGAACCCACATCCACACCGAGCCACAGAGACCCTAACAAACCCCACTGTGTCAGGGGTAGCACTAACGACTCACATAACGAGGGGGAGGAGCAACAAATCTCCAACTGAAACCCAAACTCAGGTGTTAATGTCTCCTTCAGGATATCAGTATGTGGAACTCCCAACTAGTCAGTCAGAGCTGATGAAGCCTCTTGGATGAGAGGTGGAACGTCTTCAAGGAACTCAAGCAGGTCCAGCTGCTACCATTAATCTACCAGAACTATCTGAATAACGTAAATATTGTGGTAAAGGTCTGAGAGTATCATTTAATATTTACATTTACTTGCCTCAACTAAACATGAAGGTTGTTGCTCTACAATAATCAGTTCATATAAATTCACCTACAAATGGAAATGTTAAAGTTAAGACTCTACAATATCACTTGTTATGTACATTTACCTAATTTAAATAATCCCAATTCACCAGAGGAATCTGAAGATTTCAATGAAGGATCCGACGATATCAATAAAAGTGTATTTGACAAATTTAAATAATAACGTTGACGCTCTACAACATGTACACGACTCTGATCATAAACAACCAAATAAAATCAATTCCTGTATGTGACAAGAGTTCACAGGTGTTTTCAGGGTTCAGGTGTGATCAAGTGTGTTCAGGTGTGATCAGGTGTGTTCGGGTGTGTTCAGGTGTGATCAGGTGTGTTCAGGTGTGTTCAGGTGTGATCAGGTGTGTTTGCGTCTCACTCTGAAGTAGTGGAAGCGGAAGGCGTCGGTTTTGTGTTTGAAGACATAATATCCGAGAGCAGCCAATAAACAGGCCAGAAACACAGACACCAAGATGGCCGACGCTGTACTGCTGGAGTGAGCGTGACCTCTGGAGCCGTCATGGAACACCTGGAGACAACAGGTACGACAGTGACACCTCTGGTCACCATGGCAACACTCGGCTCCACTGTAACCATGGAGACATCACTCTACGGGTCACCGGCAGCTGGACGACTCACCGGTGGGGGCGGAGCCTTCAGCGGCGCCTCGATGATGTGGATGATGCCGTTAACGGCGGGAACGTCCCAGTCGAGCAGCAGCAGCCGGTTCACCAGTTTACAGCTCTGAAACAGACCAGTTAAACTAGCAATAAACCAGTTAACCAACTAGTAAACCAGTTAACAAACTAGTAATAAACCAGTATAAACCAGTTCCCATCACACCTGGAGACACAGTTTATCAGGTCACTCATTGGTTTAATGCGTCGTTAGCTTCACCTGAATCAACATGACATCATCACTGTGTGTGTGACCTCTGACCTGGTTGTTGCTGTGGGTAACTGTCAGATTGACTCCGAGCCTCGATGTGATCACTTCCTGGTGTCTCAGGTCCTTATAAGGTCGCCTGCTGTGATTGGCTGAGACGTGGTACTGGAGGTCTCTGAAAGACAGAGTCTGAGCACAACAGAACAGTTCTGTTGTTGTTAGAGAGGACTCTGATCCAACTAGGACTTTGTTCAGACTACAGGTATGTTGTGTCCTCCTGGCCAGTAGGTGGCGCTGCGACCACATATCAGATCCTGAACCTGCAGCCTCATAAGAAAATGTTAAATAACAATGACTGACGTGCTACATGTCAGATAAAGCAGTTTTCTATTTTATTCAGTGAACATGTAACAAAAAACTTTATGTTTTATTTTTGCAGCCACCAGTGGACCTTCAAAATAAGAGTCTTCAGATTAACATGTTAATTTCACACAGAGATGATATCGTGTGCCGATATGTGGATCTGCAAAACGTGTTGTTTTGCTAATTAAGTTCATCAGCACCGGAACATCTGGACACGTCTTGAAAAAGGAAATAAAAGTGTTATTTGTGAATATATCGTTAATTCTTTAACCAGGTGTCTGATTGATCTGATGTGGCGTCCCACAGGGATCAGTCACTGGGACCTGCTACATCACTGAGCTGCATGTCTTAGTTTTTCTGAGGTTATTTGAAACGCTTTATTCGGACTCATTTAATTCTTTTTCAGCAGCATTGATGCTCCACTGAGGGATGGAGACAGAACCTCACCTGGTTCTGGGTGAATCCAGCGTTATGAGGAACAAACAGAGTGACTTCAGACGTCCTGTGAGACAGAAACTCAACCAGCTCTCGGCCCTCAGACGATGAACCGCTGTAGTCCAACAGAATCTGCAGAGAAACAGAACAAAACTCCTCAAACGCATGAGTGATGAGACTCTCTGGTTCCTGTTCTCAAAGCTCCTCATAGTTTCTGTTCCCATCAGATGAAGAAAGTCTCAGAATGCTTCGTTCCTCCACGACTCTATCATCCTGGTTTTAAACAGTGTCTGTAGCTTTAGATGAGCTGCTGCTGGCCCCGCCCCCTGATGCTGGCCCCGCCCCCTTCAGAAGAACCCTCTGTGTGATGGACAGATGAATAAGTGACAGCAGGTCTTTCTGTCCTCTGACTTCCTCTCTGAGGATCATCTTACAGTAAATCTGAGTGAACTCTCAGCTCATGGTGGTTCTGAACTCCTGCGTTTAGTGAGCTTGTCAGATGACGTCATAAAATCAGGTTTAAATGAAGCGATGCTGCTCAACGTGTCGCCTGGAGGAGGTCCACTGTTTCCTCCTGGTTCTGCTGCCTGACACCAGAACCATCTGGAGATGAGAGCAGCTTCACTGGGTCACTGGGTCGAGTTAAAGCTAACGTTAGCCACATTAGCTCTGGGGATCCTCCTGTCGCTGTGGGTCCACCAGTAACCCCAGTAACCCCAGTAACCCACTGGGTGTTGGTGAGTTCTGTTCATGGTTCAGACGTGTCAGAGTTTGTCAGATCAGCTGTAGACAGTAAATAAACCTGGAGGACTGAGAGGAAACATTCTGATTGGTTCAGCTGGAGCCACTGAGGGGGCGGAGCTATACAGAGTTGCGCTGCTATTGGTTGGTCAGAACAAAACTGTGAGTGGTAGAAGAGCGGGGAGCAGATTTACACCACAAACAAACAAAACCACAATAAGAACAGATGTTCACCAGATGGAGGCTGAACACATGAACAGCGCAGAACGCTGAACTCAGTGTGGAGGAACATTTTATCAACGTGTCATCAGATGTTCTTCAGGACGTTCAAGACGTTCCTCTGGATCAACAGGAGCCGTCACGGTGAGGGCTGGGAGCTGCTCCGGTTCACGCTGGGACAAAACAGCAGCTCAATCCTCCAACGTGTTCTGCTGGTTCTGCTCATGGACTTCCTCCAGCTGACGTCTGAGTTCTGCTGCCAGACGTCTGACCAGAACCCTGAAGGTTATGTTTAATTTCACTCTTCTACTATGTGCTTTTGGATCTAATCGCTGTTCAGTTGCACAGACTCCTGAAATACCAGCTGTTCTGCTCGCTGGTCTGAAGACGGAGAGAAACCGAATCCCTCCTGGACCAGAACCAGGAGTCCAAAAACGACAAACGAGAGTCCAGCCTGAAGGTGATACTTCAAGGTCTCGTCTGGTGAAAATCTGCTCAGACACAACAACAGAACCATCACGCTACCAGAACTAGAACTAGCCTATGTTCAAGTAGCCCCGCCTCCTCACTGCTTCCAGGTGAACCAATCAGAGTCCCAGGTGTTAGCACGCTGTAGGCTACGTGGCTAATGTCAGCTCTGATGGGCGGAGCTCTGTGGAAGCTTTCAGTGAACCCAGTAAACCAGTGTGTGGGACTGGGTGGGTCCATGGCTCCCTGTGGAGCTTCTCTCCTCTCACATTGTTCTCCAGATGTTCCTGTTTCTGTCGTCAGGCAGCAGAACCAGACGGAACACGACTGAGAGACATCATTATCTGATGGAACAGGAACAATGTGGACGACGTTAAGGACCAGACGACCTTCTCACCTTGTAGAAGACGGAGAAGTTGCTGTACGTTGCCAGAACGTCGGTCAGAACGCCGTGACAGAACCCTCCGTCTCCAACGTAGTCGGCAGGACAGGAGCAGGAAACATCTGCAGACATGACAGCAACAGCAGCAGCGGGTTACAGGCTGCTGGAGCTTCAGCAGGTTCTAGCTGCTCCTCCAATCCGACACCAGCATTTCTGCAGCAGATGAACTGAGTGGTTGTAATGATCCACCCGCTCATCACCTGACTGCAGTGAAACCACGAGACCTGCTGCTCACGGACCAGCAACACTCAACAGAACCACCACGAGACCTGCTGCTCACGGACCAGCAACACTCAACAGAACCACCAC